AAGTGAGAAGGTTAAGAAGAGAGAGATTTCAATAGGCATAGATGATAAATACCCAAGTGTATTTATAGGCTGAGAAGGAAGCGGCAGATTGATTGGAAATTCCTTGCCAAGTCGGATTCTCCTCCACTCGTTAGCTCCCTACTGTCTGGAATTTTTTAGCAAATGAGTAACTGAATAAATGATGGCTGACCCTATAGGAATGTTACATGTGGGAAGAGCATAGAGGCGCAACATCTGTGAGCAGGGAGATATGCACAGGTTTGCTCTTTACTCTGTTTTCTGGATTATAGTTTTTATTTTCATCCTTACGTTCCAGTAAGTGCTGACAACCCACCAGGCCTTGGACATCCGAGAGCAGCTGGCCACGGGGTTAAAAGTCTTGCTTTATTTCCTAGTGCAGCTTTAATGAGGAGGGTAAGGTGTACAGCCTGTTGGTTCAGGAGAGGACCTCTGAGGGTGTCTCAGGAGTCTGGGTCGTGTTGCTATGTTCACCTTGTCCCATCAATGATGGTATCAGTGAACAGGGCAGCCAGGGTTTGGTTGGGGGCTGATTTAATAAGCTGTGGCCCTATTTCTCCAGTGATGTCTCATTAAACTCTCACCCACTCCTGTGTTCAGGTCCTACTGATGTCTTTGCAGTCCTTGAATCCACCGTGTGCCTCTCCCCTCAGGGCTTGCAGCATGTGTTCCTACTCCTGTGTGCTCTTCCCCTTGCCTCACCTGGCTAACACCTACTCGCCTTTCAGGGTTTCCAGGAGGTGCCCCCTCCCCCATCGCCCCTGATGCTACTCCCTTCAGAGATTGCACAGATCACAGGCATTTGTCTATTTGCACTCACTAGTTTCTAAGTCCCACCAGGGCAGGAAATGTATCTATTTTGTCCTCCACTGTGTTCAGAGGGCCTAGTAGATACTTAATAAAAGTAGATGGATCACATAAAAGTAAATGGGTTTTAGGTATAATTTAAAATAACCCCTAACCTCACAGGTGAACAACTCTGACTCAAAGATACTTGATGGTTTTTATCTTAGCCCAAAACTAGTTAGTGGCTGCATGGGAACTAAAACTCAAGTCACCTGGTTCCCAGGGCAATGCTATTTTCACAAAACCAGAAAAACTTCGTGTCCTTGGCGCTTTTATGATCAACCTGGGGCAATTTTTAAAAATGCAAACTTTCAGTTAAAATACACATGCAGTCTACAGTCGTAGAGAGCAAACGTATGGATACCAAGGGGGAAAGGGGGGAGGTGGGACGAATTGGGATATTGGGATTGACATATAAACACTATTGATACTATGTATAAAATAGATAACTAATGAGAACCTACTGTATAGCACAGGGATCTCTACGCAATGTTCTGGGTTGACCTAAATGGGAAGGAAATCCAAAAACGAGGGGATATATGTATACGTATAGCTGTTTCACTTTGCTGTACTGTAGAAACTAACAAAACCTTGTAAAGCAACTATACTCCAATAAAAATGTAAAAAAAATAAAACTATTGAAAGAAAAAATAAAATAAAATACACATGCAGAAAAGTGTATAAATTATAAGTGTACAGCTTGACAAATTTCATGACGTAAACACATTAGGACAAGTTTCAGTGACTAAACATTAACTAAAATATGTATAATTAATATAAGCCTCTCCATGAACTTCGTGTGAAAGTGGTCACGCTCACTGTCTTTTCCAAGTTAATCACTTAAGCCCTTACCTGCCTGGCTGGCACTATCTCAACCGCGCAGGCTGATGCCCTGAGTTTTCCAGAGAGGATAAGCCACATCCTGGTTGCTGAGTGCCCCTCGCTTGGGTTCACAAACTTACAGCTCTTATCCCATTCGGTTCCCATCATAGCTGCCCCAGACCAGGCCCCAGTACCCACCCCTCTCAGACCCAGAACCACTGTCTGCCTTCTCTCCCAGGCTCTGCCCTTGAGGAAGGAGTTTTCCCTTAAACACTCAGAGCACGAAGAATCTGAAAAGGAGGTGTGCCTTTCCCCTAGACACTGAACTTCTTGCCCTTCTGACCAGGTGAAATAGCATCTCAGAGAGACATCCCTAGGAATTCCCAGCTGCCCTCCATATGCCCTTAGGGAGTGTGGTCTTGAATAGGTGGCTACAAATTCCTTCCCTCCCCTCCTCTGTAATGTAGCTGTAACTTTGAGGCTTCTCCCCTCAACAGGTGGAGTCCATTCCTCCACCCTTTGAAGTTGGTTCTGGTCACGTGATTTGCTGTGGCCAATGGAGCATTAGCACACGTGACGTAAGCGGAAGTACAAAAGCACTCCTGCCTTGGGAGGCTTGCCTGTTTCTGTTGCTGGGAACCCCGAAGTCTCCATGTGCTGAAGCCTGGGCTAGGCTGCTGGGGCCCGGCCCAGCTATTGCAGCTGTGGGCCCTGCCTCCACCAGTCAGCCGGCCAGCCAGCTGCCTGTGAATGGGCATTCCAGCCTACCCACCAGCTGACCACAGGGAAGAACCAGCTGGCCTAGGTCAGGACCGCACAGCTGAACTCCAGAACTGTAAACGAAGTAAAATGGTGAGTGTCCTGGTTTGTTTTTAAAGTCATTACGTTTGGGGATGGTTTGTGATATGGCGATAGATGACGGAGTTAAAAGTGATCTTCTCTTCTAGCCTAGAGAGTTCAGTAGCTGAAACTTCTCTAAAGAAAGGAACAAACACACGTGTGATGCCCCTCAGGTACGGCAGGCAGCACCCTAGATACAGATGGAGATAAACACACACGCATACACATTCATGCAGGAGAGGGCTGGCTTTTTGTTTTAAATGTTAAAAACAAATTCCTCTAGGAAGCAGGAATGAATGGGGGTGGGGTGGCAGAGTGAAGAAGTCCTTTAACTTCAGCTCTATGTATACCTGTATATAGATATTTTGCAACACATGTGTATTTACAATATTACCCGAGTTATTTTGAAAAGTAAGTACACACCCATAATCACGCTGGGGAGCTTTCATGATATCCCCAACTTGTGGCCTGGAGGACTAAAGTCCCCTTCCCTCTCAGCTGTAGCCCTGTGGGGTTGCCTTTCCCTCAGGAGGTGAGAGGAACCATGCCCAAACCTGGCTCAGTATGGGAGGCCTCGCAGCAGCTGGGAAGCTCTCTGCTCCCCTTTCAGCTGCTGTGGGCACTGGTGGAAGCCGGGGTGAGCGGTGGGTGTGGGCAGCAGAGAGAAGTTGGGGAGAAGGGGATGGAGGAGGAAGTAGAAATGTGTTCTGCTGTTTCCAGATGCAAAATAACCTCAGGTCTTTGAGGGCAGTGCCTAGGGCCTTGTTCTGGTCTGTCCCGTCATCGCATTTGCTGACCCAGAAGCTCCTTCCAAATCTCACTGGATGGTGCAGTAGAAAAGTTGTGGGAGCTTAGGTTTCGAATGCAGAACAGAAAAGTTGCAAACAGTGTCTGGGCTTCCGGAGACAAAAGAAAAAGCAGGGGTTTGTGTAGGAAAAGAACATGGCTTGAGCAGAGAGGAAAATCTGATAGCTGAAGTTTTATACTAGGGATGAGTTTGATATGGAAACATTATGAAAGTTCACGTTTCCCTTGGTTTAATTTCACGATCTGTCTGCTCTGCATCTGGTACTCGTGGTTATAAAGCCTTCTGGTGGACAGTGATTGCTGAGATTTCTTCTCTCTACTCCTTCCTTGTGGAGACCCCATTTCATGGGATTTCCATCAGGAGGATCTCTCGAAACCTCTCGCCATAATCAGGGGTTGGCACATGGTTTCCTAATTCTAAAAATGAATTTCCTAATTCATTTTTAATGTATATTTTTAAATATACATTAAAAAATCTTCTCTGTCCTTCATATTTTAATATTTTTGAATTGAAATTTTCAGACTTGTCTTTTGTCTCTCTTTTTTTTTTTTTTGTGGTACACGGGCCTCTCACTGTCGTGGCCTCTCCCGTTGTGGAGCACAGGCTCTGGACGCGCAGGCTCAGCGGCCATGGCTTATGGGCCCAGCCGCTCTGCGGCATGTGGGATCTTCCCGGACCGGGGCACGAACCCTGTATCGGCAGGCGGACTCTCAACACTGCGCCACCAGGGAAGCCCGTTTTTTGTCTCCTTTAACATTGTAGGCATAGTTATGTTTAAGCCTATGTCTGAGAGCTCCCATATCCAGAATCCTCTAGGTCTGTTTCTATTGTTTCTTTTTCTGCTCATTTGTTGTTGTCGTTATTGTTCATGTAATCTTGTCACTTGGTTATTTTTTATTACATGCCAGACATTGTTATTTGAAAAAATTGTAGAAGTAATTTGAGGTTTAGGATTATGTAATCTGTCTCTGGAGAGGAATTACATTTGCTGTAGGAAGGAACCTAGAAGAGCTCGTAATGCAGGATCACCTTAATCCAATTTCAGTGATTGCCATGATTTAATGCTAGATTGCATCCCTACAAGGGTTAATCTATTTCCACTTCAACCTGTGCTTAGAATGCAGCCTTCAGTGTCCCAGTCTCAAGTGTGGGGTTACCGGCACCTCTCTCCCAGACTTGGTGGGCTTAGACTCTTATTTTTTTTTTTTATTCCCTTAGCCCATTTAAGGCTGTCAGAAATCTTGCTTGGCCTCTCAGTTGCCTCTTCTAGAATTGGCAAGTACCCAGGAAAGTAGCAAGTCCAAATGCATCTCTGGATTTCCCCCTTCTCCATTTTCTTAGTTTATTTTACCTGCCTTGCTAGCTCTTCAATGCCTGTAAGTAGATTTTTAAAATTAATTGCACCTGGCTTTCGGAGAGGTCCTCAGTGGGCAAGTTGGTCCAAATTACCTAGCCCATCAGTAGTGGAAGTAGAAGTCCTTTATGTAAAGTGGCAACTTGTTTTGGATGGGAACATATATAAAAGGTGGATATATGGGGACAAATGCATGAAATCTCAGCCTTAGGAAAGGAAATTGGATTATAACTCTAGGAAGGAAGCTCTGCGCTCTAAAGAAGGTACAGGCTAGGTTACGACAAAGAGAAATACAGTAGTTCAAACAACGTCACAGTGCGTTTATTTCTCTCTCACATAATACTTCAGAAGAAGGTAGGTTAGGTTCTTGAGGCAGCTCTGATCGAGGAGTATCTAAGGACCCAGGTTACGTCTGTCCTGTTGCTGCCCCAAAGCAATGTCGTCCTCATCATCGTAGCCAAATATCATATTAGCATTCCAGTTGGGGAGGAGGGGAAAAAGAAGAGGAAGGCAACCAGGTTTGCTTGTTTTTTAAAGATATAATCTGGAGGTCGCATGCATCACTTTCATTCATATACTCTTGGTCCAAACTAATTATTTGCAGAGCCGTATCTAGAGTCAAGACAGGATTAGATATGTAGTTTCCTGCTTGTATTAGTAGGAGAGAGAAGAGTGGAATGGATCCTGAACAATTCATAGTCTCTGTCGTGGGTCCTGGATAAGAGAGGAAGAATGACATCTCATACCCAGGATGGGCTAATGGGACAAGGAGGAGAGACACCAGTATGACTTCACACAAAAATAAGGGCACCGGGGCTTCCCTGGTGGCGCAGTGGTTGAGAGTCCACCTGCCGATGCAGGGGACACGGGTTCGTGCCCCGGTCCGGGAGGGTCCCACATGCCGTGGAGCGGCTGGGCCCATGAGCCATGGCCGCTGAGCCTGTGCGTCCGGAGCCTGTGCCCCGCAACGGGAGAGGCCACAACAGTGAGAGACCCGCGTACCACACACACACACACACACAAAATTAAGGGCGCCTGATGTCTCCGTGTGTTAGGGAGGATGAATTCGAGTGGCAGTTTTCAGATTTGAGCATGTGTCAGAATTGTCTAAAAGGCTTGTTAAAATATAGGTTGCTTGTTAGTGCCTCCCCAGAGTTTTGATTCTGTGAGTCTGGGGTAGATCTCCGAATTTTCATTTCTAACAATTATCTGATGTTGATGGTACTGGTCCAGGGATCAAACTTTGAGAACACCGCATCTTGGGCAGGACTAGCTTAGACCGGCTTTGTTTCTGAGAGTTGACAAAAAGGGGTGTGTATAACAGTAATAATATAATTGAGCACCAAGTTTTCAGTTGTAAAGTTCTGGAATCCTTCACCATGGTATTATGGACAGGATTATCCAGTCCAGACTAGGTAAACTCCTTAACATAGACGAGCATAACCATTTTACTTTTGACTTCCTAATCCCCAGTTTCTCTCTCCCTGCTAATTCCAATAGAATATCCTGGAAAGCCACTTAGAGCTCTTCACTTGAAGCATCTCTGATAAGCAGATTTCACTGTGTGTTAACTTCACTAACATATGTGCAGCATATTATTTTTGCAGCTTTTTATTTATATTTCAATGAGAATTTTATGAATATAGGTCTTGGTTCTTCAGGACAAAATGAAACATGATATATTTATTTTTTATTGGAATAAAGTTGCTTTACAATGTTGTGTTAGCTTCTGCTGTATAATGAAGTGAATCAGCTATATGTATACCTGTATCCCCTCCCTCTTGGACCTCCCTCCCATCCCCCCCTCCATCCCACCCACCTAGGTCGTCACAGAGTGGTTTATTTAGTTGCTTCCTCCTCTTTAAAAAAAAATTAGGAAAGATTGTATTTACTAAGTGAGGGACCTGAGTTTCTGTATACTCTTTATAGAATGGAATTGAGGGAATGCCCTGGCAGTCCAGTGGTTAGGACTCAGCGCTTTCACGGCCGGGGCCCGGGTCCAATCCCTGGCAGTGTGGCCAAAAAAAAAAAAAATGGAATTGAAAACAAGGACAGATCAATTTGAAAATAATTGTTTCCTGAGGAAATTACCAAAGACTGGATGGAACGGATGGAATCTATTTCCCGGCTTCATTTTTTATTATTGATTTCTACCAATTGGCTGAGCGTTGGGTGGTTTTATTTCAAATTCCAAATGGCATTTAGCAGGCAGGTAGGGAAAAGAGAGAAGGGTGATCTTTAACCCTGCAGTATGGCCGTTGACCCTGAGCGGGACATTAGGGGACACAACTGGGAAAATGGGAAGGATCCCAAGTATGAAGAGAATAAGAAGTGTGGGAAGCAAGGCCAGGGAGGAGGCCACCATTCAGGTCAACTCCCAAGCAGCACGCGGCTCACCCAGGGCAGTTCTCGCTTTCGCAAATCTAATATGGTGGAAACAAGCTGGAGGTACGGTTTGAAAGAAAAGTTGGTAAAGATCCTTATGTTCGTTTCAGAGCTAGATTACTGCAGTCATTCTGTCAGAAATCCAGGCAGAAACCCGGAATGGAGAGAAAACGTCAAGAGACCTATGCAGGAGGTCAGGTAGGACTATGGCCACCACCCAACAGTGTCTCTGAAACATTCAGGCATTTAGATATCATGCGGAGAGGTAACTGTCAATCCACTCGTTTTCTGGGCAAGCACGTTGTAGAGAAGATCAGAACAGTTTCTTGGCCGTTTCACACACTGCCTGGGCTGACCAAGTGGCTCTCCCTGGGGCTGAGGTTTTTTGGATACCCAGGCTGAATCAGGAAGGTGCTTTCTTTAAAGCTACCTATTCAAATGTCTTAACTAAACGGAAGACCTCAAATCCTGAGAAGACTCAAGACTCTTTTCCTCTGAAAAGCGGTGCCTCTTAAACGCCTTTCTTAGAGTCTGGGGTTATTGCCTTTGTAGGAACAATGCAAAAACCTATTGCTGCTTTGCATCTCAGAATGTATGTACTTACTTCACTAACCTGATAAAGGAACTTGAACTTGAAAGATGGCTGTGGGAAGTATTAAGAAGTATTTTTTCCAAATATATATGTCCTTTATAGAATGTTCTTTTAAAAATTATTATTAAAGCACATATTCGTGACCTCCCCAGGAACCGCCCCTTTTGTCCAGCCCTCCCCTACTTCCAGTCACTACTCACCCTCAAGGGGAATCCCTGTCTTGATATCTAACAGCATTGATTAGTTTTGTCAGTTTTGTCCTTTATGTAAGTAGAATCATAGAACATATACTCTTTTGTATCTGGCTTCTTTCATTTTTATCACTGTGTGTAGTTGTGGATTGTATATTCTCATTGCTGTAAGTATTCATTGTCTGCATATACCAGTTTGTTTACTGATTATTCTGTGGATGGATTTTGAGGTAGCTTCCAATTTGAGGTTATTATGAGTCACGCTGCTGTGAACTTTCTAGTTTATGACTTTTGGTAAGCACACGTTCACATTCTGTTGGTACTTTTTTTAAAATTAACTTTTATTGGAGTATAGTTGATTTACAATGTTGTGTTAGTTTCTGCTGTACAGCAAAGTGAATCAGTGATACATATGCATATATCCACTCTTATTTATTTTTTAAATTTTAAAAAATATTTATTATTTATTTATTTTGGCTGCACTGGTTCTTAGTTGTGGCAGACTTCTTAGTTGTGGCATGTGGACTCTTAGTTGCAGCATGCATGTGGGATCTAGTTCCCCGACCAGGGGTCGAACCTGGGCCCCCTGCATTGGCAATGTGGAGTATTATCCACTGGACCACCAGGGAAGTCCACCACTCTTTTTATGATTCTATTCACATATAGGTCATTACAGAGTATTGAGTAGAGTTCCCTGTGCTCTACAGCAGGTTTCTTATTAGTTATCTATTTTATATATAGTAATGAGTATATGTCAATCCCAATCTCCCAATTTATCCTTCCCCCTTCCCTTGGCATTTTATTTATTTTAAAAAATATTTATTTATTTATTTATTTGGCTGCACCGGGTCTTAGTTGCGGCACGCAGGATCTTCATTGCCACGTGTGGGATCTTCGTTGCGGCAGGTGGGATCTAGTTCCCTGAGCAGGGATCGAACCCGGGCCCACTGCATTGGGAGAGCACAGTCTTAGCCATTGGACCACCAGGGACGTCCCAGGCACTTTATTTTAATTGTAGAAATAGTTTACCGTTGCCAACATCCTCTTTGAGTCAGGAATTATATGGTAGGTGCTGTGAAGAATTAAAAGGCAGCAAATGGGTGTCTCTAATGGCAAAGCTCAGGTGAGGGGTGAAAATAGTCAGTGTGGCTTTGGAATCCTGCATTGGCAAAGTAACTCAATCCAAACCTCAGCTCTTCCCATATATGCTTTTATTTAACACTCCAACGGAAGTTCCATTTTCTCTCCATTTTACAGATGAGAAAACTGAGGCATAAAGAGGCCAAATACCCTGATCCAAGCCACACAGGCAGCAAATGGAGAAGCCAGAATTGAACCCAGGTGGTCTAGCTCTAGAAGCCAGACCACTTGGGTTGTCACTCAGCTTTGTTGCCTTTCTGTATCTTCATCTTCCCATCTCTACCAGTAGGATGGATTCTTCTCATTCACATTTAAATATGCCTCATCTTACCATCTTAAATTCAACTCTCCCTTGACCTCACATCTCCTTCCAGCTACTCCCCCTCTTCTGCTCTTTACCTCCATAGTTCTTGAAGGAGTTGCCTACTAGCATCATCTCTGTTTCCTCACCTCCCACACACCCCTCACCTCACTCCAGCCTGGCTTCAGCCCCTACTGCCCAGCCATGTTAGATCTTGCTGAGGTCAGCAATGACCTCTGTAGCTAAATTCAATGCATGTCATGTTATACATCTCGGTAGTTTCCAATATTGTTGATCACTAGCTCCTCGAAACTGTCTTATCTCTTGACTTGAATAACTTTCCCATTTCTCATCCTACCGGTTTACTCTCTCCACAGCCTCCCTCTTCTGCTGGCAAATCCTCTTCCTGTATGACCTTTAAATATTGCAGTAATACATGGGCTCCCTCATCCCTGCGCTCCCTTCTCTTCTAATTCTATACCTTTACCCTTAAAAAGCTCATCTTGGGCTTCCCTGGTGGCATAGTGGTTAAGAATCTGCCTGCCAATGCAGGGGACATGGGTTCGAGCCCTGGTCCGGGAAGATCCCACAGGCTGCGGAGCACCTAAGCCTGCAAGCCGCAACTACTGAGCCCACATATCACAACTACTGAAGCCCGCACGCCTAGAGCCCGTGCTCCGCAACAAGAGAAGCCACCGCAATGAGAAGCCCGCGCACCGCAATGAAGAGTAGCCCCACTCGTCGCAACTAGAGAAAGCCCGCATGCAGCAACGAAGACCCAGTGCAGCCAATAAATAAATAAGTAAATAAATTTATATATATAAAAAAAAGCTCATCTCCACCCAAGGCCGCATTTACCATCAACACCCTGAGTATCCCACATGGGTACCTCTAGCTTGGCTCTTTCCTCTGAGTTCCTCTGGTGTTTCCTGGGCACCTAACTTTAGCTTCTCAGCGATGAACTCATGATCTCTCTCATCCCCACCCTGCTCCCTCCCTGGGGTTTCCATGATCAAGTCTATGGCTCCATCTTCTATCCAACTGCAGAGTCATCCTTGACTGTGCCACTTCCTAGCCCCCCAATCTAATTATTCACCAAGTTTCTTTAACATTTCTCCTAATTATCTCTCACGTCTCTCTACTGTTTCCAGCCCTAGACTTAAGTTACCTTTCTCTCTGGCCTGGAATAGTCAAAATCGCTTCCTGAAAGGTCTGCTTACAGCCCCTCTTTGCATTCTTCAAATTTCACCCAGAGCCATCATTGGAAATCCTATCCTATCCAGTTCTAGCACCTGCTCCCCAACTTAAAACCCTTTAAAAAAAAAGGACTTCTTGGGCTTCCCTGGTGGCGCAGTGGTTGAGAGTCCGTCTGCCAACGCAGGGGACACGGGTTCGTGCCCCGGTCCGCGAGGATCCCACATGCCGCGGAGTGACTGGGCCCGTGAGCCATGGCCACTGAGCCTGCGCGTCCAGAGCCTGTGCTCCGCAACGGGAGAGGCCACAGCAGTGAGAGGCCCACGTACCACAAAACAAACAAACAAAAAATGACTTCTTGTTGTTCTTGGGGAAAAGGTTGAAACCCTGAACACTAGTCGTAGTGCTTTGCGTGACCTGGCTCTCTTTGCCAGCCTCTCCTCACCTCAGTGTCTGCACCCAGTCTTCACACCGAGACACACAGTAATCAAACTGGCAAAAATTAAAGACAAAGAAAAATTATTGAAAGCAGCGAGGGAGAAACGGCAAATAACATGCAAGGGAACTCCTGTAAGGTTAACAGCTGATTTCTCGGAGGAAACTACAAGCCAGAAGGGAGTGGCATGACGTATTTAAAGTGATGAAGGGGGAGAGCCCGACGAAGTCAGGACCCTCTGTTATATGTCTCACAGCCTCCGTTACCTCTCTTTCACAGAGATTTTCATGACTGTAATGATTTCATTATGTAAATAGTTGCTTAGTCGGTCTCCCCTGATAGACTGTTGAACTCCAGGAGGACAGAAACTGCCCCTGTGTGGCTGTCCGCCCCATTCCCAGCACCCAGAGCAGTCTCTTCCCTCTAACAGGGACTCAAATAAAAGAATAAATGAATGACTTGCCATCTTCAGAATTTTCAACTCCATCTCCTCTGATTATTCCTTACTCATATTTTATCTGGGGTGTTTAGACTATTAATAAAAGTAAAACTAGATTAATTTGGCCTTTGTGGCTACTGTATTACTAGTATCAGAAAAAGTGATTTTATACACTCAACATCATTAGTCATCAGAGACACACAAAACAAAACCACAGTGAGACACTACTTCACATTCACTAAGCTGACGACAGTAAAAAAAGACATGTGTTGGGCTTCCCTGGTGGCGCAGTGGTTGAGAGTCCGCCTGCCGATGCAGGGGACACGGGTTCGTGCCCCGGTCTGGGAAGATCCCACATGCCGCGGAGCGGCCGTGCCCGTGAGCCATGGCCGCCGAGCCTGCGCGTCCGGAGCCTGTGTTCCGCAACAGGAGAGGCCACAGCAGTGAGAGGCCCCCATACCGCTAAAAAAAAAAAAAAAAAAAAAAAAATTGTGTTGGGAAGAATATGCAGAAATCGAACTCTCAGATGCACTTATGGGAATGAAAAACGGTGCAGCCACTTTGGAAAACAGTCTGGCAGTTCCTTGATATGTTAAACGCGGAGTCACCATATGACCCAGAAATTCCACTCCTAGGTATGTGCCCAAGAGAAATGAAAGCATATGTTCACATAAAAACTTGTACATGAATGTTCATATCAACATTATTCATAATATATTTTTGACTCTTCATAAGAGTCAAAAAGTGGAAACAACCTAAGTGTTCATATACTGATAAATGGGTAACTAAAATGTGGCATATCTATACAATGGAATATTATTCAGCAATATAAAGAAATACAGTACTTACACATGCTACAACATGGATGAACCTTGAAAACATTACGCCCAGTGAAAGAAGCCCGTCACAAAGGCCCATGTGTTGTGTGATTCCATCTTTATGAAATGTAGCATAGACTAAATAGACAAACGTACAGAGATCGTTAGTAGATCAGTGGTCGTCTAGGATCAGTAGGGTTTGGGGAAATGGGGAGTGACTGCCTGTGCGTATGTGGTTTCTTTAAGGAGTGATGGAAATGATCTAAAATTAATTATGGTGTTGCACGTCTCTGTGAACTTACTAAAAGCCATTGAATTGTGCCCTTTAACTGGGAGAATTATATGGGATGTGAATTATATCTCAATAAAGCTGCTAAAAGAAAAAAAGATGGTTTACTTTTGAGGGTAAACTGAAAGCACACCACCCAGACATTACTAACAATTAAACAACAGTATGGAGCGCTGACCATGCCTTCTGCATGTGGTTTTTCACTCCAGTGTCCTTGCTCTGTATATCATGTGCCCCTTCGCTTTGTTTTTTTATTTATTTTTATTTATTTATTTTTGGCTGTGCTGGGTCTTCGTTTCTGTGTGAGGGCTTTCTCTAGTTGTGGCGAGCGGGGGCCACTCTTCATCGCGGTGCGCGGGCCTCTCACTGTCGTGGCCTCTCTTGGTGCGGAGCACAGGCTCCAGACGCGCAGGCTCAGTAGTTGTGGCTCACGGGCCCAGTTGCCCCGTGGCATGTGGGATCTTCCCAGACCAGGTCTTGAACCCGTGTCCCCTTCATTGGCAGGCAGATTCTCAACCACTGCGCCACCAGGGAAGCCCCCGCCCCTTTGCTTTGTTTTGATGGGACATCTTATGTCCGTCCCCTCCCTTGAATTCAAGACACTGCACGAGCTCAGAGTGACAACTTGTTCTCGCCCTTAGATTATTATGAGGACTAAATGGGTTAATATATGCAATGCACTTAGCATTGTGCCTCGCACATGGGAAGTGTACAATAAATATTATTTGTTATTATTATCCCAACCAAAAACTAGCAAATTTTATGTGGTTACAGAAAATATAGAGCCATGACTTATGTTTTGCAATTGAAGTGGCGGTTCTTTGAGTGCTTTTGACGGTTCTATCACACGTCCGATACACTTATTTTTTCCTTCTGGGAAGTTGAGGGACCCAGACCTACCTCCACCCTATCCTCACCCTTTCCTCACCCTGTTACAACAGGGTGCAATAATGTGGATGAACACTAGGGGGAGACATGCAATTGCAGTTAAAAATCACACTTGAAACTCAGACCATAAAAAGACCTAAGCTGTCTAGTGTCAAAGGAAAGTGAAATGTCTTCCTTTAATATAGTATCTTATGGTACTCTTCTATAGGAGGAAAAGGTTATTATTATATCAGAGGGGTGTTGCTTCCGGAAGGATGGCTGCAGCATTACTCAGATTCTACCTATGTGCGCCTGCATAAAGAGGGTGTACAACCATTTCCTCACATGCTACACGCCGTGTATCAGTTCTCTTGAGGACACTTAGCTTCTCTTGTGAGTTGGTCCTGCTTATGGGAAGTATTTGAGAGCCCACATTACTATAGTGCTGCCTTTCAAAGCACTTTAACATAATATCTGGTCTCTGGGAGGCCCAGCTGTGCTTCAAATCCTAGACTTCCCTGAGATTGCTGATGAGTTTCTGTTGAGGTGTATGTGTCCCCACTTGAGATGAGTCCTGCAAGGGCAGGGACCATATCCCCTCTTCATCTTTGTGTCCTCAGAAGTTTGCAGTGCTTGGCATGTCCCACTGAAGCTGGGTAAGTGTCTCCTGGACCAAACTGCTCCATGAGCTGAAGCTCGAAAAAGAGGGAAATGAGGACCACCTTATGCATGAGCAATGGGACTCCCTCCAGTGAAGTTTCTTTAATTATTTTTTCTATGCTCTAAAAGCAGTTCATGCTCGGACTTCCCTGGATGTCCAGTGGTTAAGACTCTGAACTTCCAATGCAGGGGTTGTGGGTTTGATCCCTTGTCGAGGAACTAGGGTCCCACATGCCACGTGGTACGGCCACAAAACAAAACAAAACCAAACAAAAAGCAGTTCATGCTCGTAAGGAAAAAGCAAGCGAAAAGAACACAAATTACTCACAATCGCATCTACCCAAACCCTGGGATACCACAGATTCCTTTTACCTTGCCTCAAAGCATAAAATATAAATATATGTGTGTGTGTGTGTGTGTGTATACATATATAGAGTGTTTATATTTATGGCAGCATGGAACATAGGATTCCATTACATGATGGTATTATCTTTGTTTAACTAATCCCACCCCCCCTTTGGGAATTCAGGTTATTTCTAAATTTTTGGTCTTTTAGAGAGCAGCCTAGTGAATAACCTTGTAGCAAAATCTTATCCCACATTTTTTGTTAGTTCCTTAGGATAAATTCCCAGAAGCAGAATTGCTGGGTGATGGGTAATTTACATTGTCACCAACAGTGACGGTGCCCTTGATCAGATGAAAAGTTTTAATTAAACATCACACAGAACTCTATAATCTTGTCTCGGTAGTGTCACCACCACTCAAAACATTAGTGAACTCTGTGTTTGGTGATCCAGGCTGTGACTCACACAAGAAACTAAATCTTAATCCCTCATCTTGCCTTTGATCTTGGACTACTCAGGAAAATCTGATTTACCACAAAAAGACAAAGAAAGCAACCCTGGAGGATATTCACATAAATGTGCCACCAGAGTCAGGAGGTAAGATAAAGAAATGCTTCCTACAGTGGAGCAGGGAACACATCAGAGCATGTGTTAGGGGGCCGCAGAGCTTTCAGTGTATGTATACTGATAGAATTATTTAAAAAGCCATGTCATCGCACCTCATGCACTCTCCAGGTGCAACTCTCTTGATGCTTTTCCAATTTGAAGGTTTTTTTTTTTCACCTATCTTTTTTCTAAGTTCCTTTTTTTTTTTTTTTTTAAATTTGGATGGAATTGGCTGGTTCCCCATCATCTGAAGACCCCTTCTGGGTTGCAACAAGGAAGGCTCTCTTAACTGGTTTCTTCCTTAAAGGTTCCCAAGCTTCTCTTTCTTTAGATCTGAAAGATATGCTTAAATAAAGAACTGAACGTTTCAAAATGTATTTTTAGGGATTTCTTCATGGACGGGTAGAGAGAGACGGCAGCACCCAACTGGGGCTTAGTGTTTCTTTATGGAGGGGATTAGGTGTGGCTCTTGATTGATGGCAGTAGGGTAGAGGACCTGCACTGGTTTTTACTATGATTATATGTTTATTTGGTGAGGTCTTGGTGAAGAGCTGTTATTTTATGGAGGAAGGGGGCTGAAACTAACTCAAGCCACCCATTGGTGCGGCCATGTTATTGCCGTATCGCAAAGAAATCCTCAGTGGCTCTCGGTAGCCTACCAAATAAAGCTGTACTGCCTGGGCTGATGTTCAAGGCCGTCTACAACATAACCTTCACCCTACTTCTCCAGCCTTAACATCCCCTACTCCTTGTACAGACCTGTGTGGATGCTCCACATCTTCTGGCCCAGCTCCTTTCTCTCGCCGCTGCTGTGGCAGCCAGCTTGTGGCCCGACAGCTCTCACTTGAGCTGCACAGAGACTCTTTCATTTTCTGCCTGACAACTCCCTGACTCTGCAGTGTGGACACGCTGGTCACCTGGTTGCCTTCTGGACGTGTGAGGGACTGACCCTGCTGCGGGGCAGCCTCCGATGACTGGGGGATGGGAACTGGAGGGTGAGGACCACCCCCCGCCTGCCCCATCTGTCAGCTGGGCGGTTCCGAGGTCCCTTCACACAGCTCCTCAGAAGTGCCCGTGGCACTGTGCCCCAGACGCCCACAGTGGTGAGCAGCTGCTAGCCCACCCTCCACCCGCGTGCTGGCCTTCCCTCCTTGCTTGTTCCCCTCTCCCCGCACCTCACCCCTGTTCCCCGGGATCGTTTCCCCAAACACATGGCACTGAAGCCTCTTCTCGTGCTCTGCTTGCTGGGGGAGGGGGGCGGACAACAGTCCCCGTCCTTTTTTCTGATCATGTTCTTTGGTCTCGTCTCTTCATTTCTTTAATACTCACGCAGGGAACGTCTAGAATGTTCCTCGTCTGGGGAAGGGCCCCAAATAGAAAAAGGAATCGGACCCAGGCCTTGCTCTTGAGGCGATAGGACATCTGAGATAGTTTGGGCTATCTGGGGAGGTTTTCTCCAGAATGCCTTTTAAAGGATGAGTGGGAATGAGTTTGCTGGGACACAGTGGAGGAAGACTTTCTGGGCGGAGGGAATGGTTTGGGCGGAGATGGCAGGTGGTGAACACGGTGTGTTTGGGGACCTGGAAGCTGAGCGAGACTGGAGTGGGGGGCACCCAAGGAGTGTGCACCGAGGGATCTGCCATGCCCCACGAGGGCAGAGAGGGCCCTGCGTGGCTCCTTACATGTCCCCGGCCCGGTTCTGTCCTTCTGGGAGGTCCCACCCTGGCTGTGGCTGACCAGGGGTGGGCGCCTGCAGGGGTGGCCTTGGCATGAGCCTGAGCCTCTGCGGGGGTCCCCGGGAAGCTGAGTATCCCCTCACCCAGGCCATCCTGCCCCTGTGTCCTGCCCCAGGGAGAGGCTCTGGAATAGCTGGGAGGCCGGGGAGGGACCATCCTTCACCCACCACAAGAACACCCTGGAGCAGGCTGTGTGATCTCCTGCTTGTGTGTGGCTCTGTTTTCTTTGCCATGAAACAATCCTGCCCTGGGGCTGTGGAGGTCTTTCCCCTGAGCCCATCCCGCTGTGGTAAACATGCAGCTCCTGACTCAGGGACGGGCTGGTGACTCAGGGCTCACTGGTGGCTTCCCCATCAATCAGACCCTTTTTTGGGGACTTTAAAGGACACACAGGGAAGGCAGCAGACAGAAGCAATGAGGACGAGAAAAGGTGAGCAGAGAGAAGCAGGGCTGCTGGTGGCAGGACGAGTGGAGAGATCGTGCCTGAGTCCCGATGATGTGGCCATATCAGGAGCTGTGAGGTAGTGAGGGATCCCCGGAGGGGCCTGGAGGGTCTTTTTGTTTTGGAACTACACCCCAGACTCCAGAAACTTTGTAGGGCTGGACCTGTGCTCCCTGGAGCAAAAATAGACACACCTACTTCCCTGGTCCCTTACACATCCTAACAGAGTGGCGTCCGGCGCTGCCCTGCCTGGGTCTGAATGTTGCCCCATTGCTTACTACTGTGTGAAGTTAGGCAAGTTATTGACCTCTCTGTGCCTCAGTTTCCGCCTCTGTAAACAGGGCTAATACTGGTGTCTGCCTCAGAGGGCTGTTGTGAGGACTGGGTGAGTGAATGCATATAATATGCAGAGAAGAGGCGGGCACGTGTGAAGCGCTCTGTAACCAGGTGGCAGCCCGGGTCTGGGGGGAACACTCAGCTGGGTAACTGAGGTGGGTGTAAGGGATCATTTACACAGGTGTGGTTCAGAGGCGGGGACGCTGACAGAATGGTACCTGCAGGAAGCCGGTTCCATTCCTGGGCCTGATGGGGTGAGGGGAAGGGGCAGTCACGAGCCAGCTGGCAGACTCAGGCGAGGGTGGCAGGACAGCAACTGTGGGCTCTGGCCAGGAGTGCCGCTGGGCCAGCCCGCCCTGCAGGGCGGGAGTGGAGGGGATGCATACCCCCGAGCCCCTCTCCTCGCCCGCTCTGATCTCCTGCCCCTACCCCGCAAAGGCCAATCCAACAGGGGGACAAAGGGCAAGGCGTTTAGGAGGATGCAGAACCCAGAGGGCGGCCTGCCAGGGCCCAGGGCAGTTGCGGAAGGGTGGGGAGTGGAAGGGCAGCCCTTGGCGTCTGTCCAGCACCAGTGCCGGCTAGGGTGGCTGTGACTGTTGTGACCATGAATGCCTGTCACTTGAAGACTTGACAAATCTTCATCCCTTGCAAGGAGAGCCACAGAGCACACAGTGTGCTGCGCTGCGACAGCTGGTCTCCCTCACTCGCTGGGCAACCGTTGGTGCAGGGAGGACAGAGGCCGCTCCTGCTTTCTGTCCTGCGCCCGGGAGAAGCATCTGGCCTTTTTGTTTACATCGCGAGCTGTTGGATGCCCCCTGGAGCTGTACTTAGGGATGAAGACTCTCGCAACCAATGCCGCACTGTGTTTATCTATTGAAGGTTATTTTACCAAGAGGCCGCCCCCCACCCCGGAAGTTTAAAACAAGATAAAAGAGCAAAACTCATATACGAACTGTGCTGGTGGGTTTTTCTTCCCCCGCTCTCAGGGCAGCTGGCCTGCTACAGGAAGCAGCTGAAACTCCAGGGACAGGAGCAAAAAAGCAACTTTGGGCTCGGAATGCTGAGTCATGGAGAGCAGGTGCTGGCTGCTGTGGGGAAGTGATTACAGAAGGAAGAATGCTGCGTGTGTGTGAATGTTTACATTTGACACATATTGGGGGGGGGCGGGGGGGGGGGGAGGAGGGCGGGGGTGAGTTGAAGGCGGTGCCTGCTTTGGATCAGGGAGGAGGCCAGGCCCGGACCAGGCTCCTCCCTGGGGCCCATCTTTACTCAGCCGGGTTGTGCCAGCCCCTGGGCTTCCCTGAGCTCACTGACTGTCACAACATCCCTGTGAAGTAGGTGTCGCCCCCGTGGGCCAGACGAGGGCAAAGCCATCGGTCACCAGGGATGTCTGTATTTGAGCCCAGGTGTACACCTCCAGAGGCTGGGTTCTCTGTCATTCAGGCCGAATTTTGGCCCTTTCTGTGTGTTACCTGTCTTATCATTTACTTAGTATTTTTTTGAAAATGACCTTTTTTTGGTACGGTAAGCAATTTTGTTTGAAAAAGAAGCTGGATCACTACCGTGAACGGAGAGCTAGACTCACCTACCTTAAATAAGGTGACCGGGCATCCCCAGTGGCGCAGTGGTTAAGAATCCACCTGCCGATGCAGGGGACACAACTTCGAGCCCTGGTCCGGGAAGATCCCACATGCCGCGGAGCAACTGGACCCGTGTGCCACAGCGACTGAGCCTGCGCTCTAGAGCCCGCGCGCCACAACTGCTGAAGCCCGCGCGCCTAGAGCCCGTGCTCCGCAGTAAGAGAAGCCACCGCGATGAGAAGCCCGCGCACTGCAACGAAGAGTAGCCCCCGCTCGCCACAATGAGAGAAAGCCCGCGTGCAGCAACGAAGACCCAACGTAGCCAAAAATAAATAAATAAAACAAATAAATTTATAAATAAATAAATAAATAAAAATAAGGTGACCATCCATATAAATACAAAGGAATTCCTGGTTTCCAGCCTGGTTGACTCTGAATTCTAGAGCAGAATGATTTTGAATTAACTCCATCCCTTTCTGAGGGTCAGCTGAGCAGCCTCTCTTCCCTCTGTCTGGTCCCTAAGTTCTGTAAAAGCTGATTCGAAATTGGATAGTGTGGGACTTGCCTGGTGGTGCACTGGTTAAGAGTCCACCTGCCAGCTCAGGGGACATGGGTTCGATTCCTGGTCCAGGAAGATCCCACATGCCGCAGAGCAACTAAGCCCATGCGCCACAACTACTGAAGCCCACGTACCTAAAGACCGTGCTCCGCAACAAGAGAAGCCACCGTGATGAGAAGCCCGTGCACCGCAATGAAGAGTAGCCCCCGTTTGCCACAACTAGAGAAAGCCCGTGCGCAGCAACGAAGACCCGATGCAGCCCCCAAAAAAGAAATTGGACTGTGTGCTAGTAGCCAGGAAATGTTTAATAACCGGCTTTCCAAAAATGAATGTATTACGCACACATAGTATAAATCTTACTGATGTCAAAGACCTGTATATCACACAATTTACAAATTAAGAAAAACCACAGAACTCTCTATTGTAAATTCTGTATAGCCGTTTGATTCCTTCAGAATGCTTTCATTGCTTTTGGCTGAACTCTTCCATCTGTGGCCAACCTGTGGTTGGAATTGACGAATGAGTGTGTTAAGACATGGATGTTGGTTGATATCGTCAAGGTTAAAGTGAAGCAACAAAGACATTTGTCAGAATTTCACTTAGTCCATTCATTGTCATCAATGATATGAGTGACTTCTTTGCTGAAATGGGTAAGAGTTTTTGAATCCTGGGAAAATATTTCCTCACTTTTTTTGTTCTATGTGCAATGTAGTGCATTCCCAAATGTGACAAACTTTTAAGTGAAAGCTGCACTATTAACACCTTTTCCTTCACTTTCTTATGTCTGGATAATAAGACAATAAATCAAGCCCCAATTTGTAGCATTTGCCGATTTCTGTGGTGTAACTACTCCCACCATGGCCCGTTTCAAATTACCAGTGTGACACCACTGAGCGTGATGCAGATTTGGGAATAGAAGGGCAGAGCTCACCTTTTATAGTATTCCCATTGTACAGATACAAAAGACATAAATAACCGTAACAGCCTAGATAGTAGTTAGATGTAGCAAAATAATTTGGAAGTTGCCAGTATTTAATACTTTTGTTTTTAATATAATTTATTTAATTATAAATTTCTATAACTTAATTTTTAATAAGAGCTGTGTTTATCAACTGAATCTCCAGATTCCTCAAAAATTCTGTCGCCACTGGTGTGTGTCAGCTCCAGTACACCAGTGATCGCAGCCTTATCTTGAAACTGGGCGTATTGTATGTGCATGAAGCTTGGAGCCAGGGGCCAGAATAATTTCTGCTGTTTTCAGATGTACACACTCCACTGTGCCCTACCTCAACAGGATAACGGAGTTTGTCTCTCCCCTTACTTCTCTAACTTCGAATCCTCTACTTTCCTTCTTACTGACGCTGCTCCCTAGAGATTCCACAGATGCACCAGGCACGTCCACCTCAGGGCCTCGGTACTTGCTATTTTCCCTGCCTAGAATGTTCTTCCTCCACCTATCTGCGTGGTTCACTCCCTTCCCTCCTTCAGATCTTTACTCAAATGTCACCTTCTCAGTGAGGTTCTCCCTGCCCACCTTGCTTATAACTGCGACCCCTCCTCTCTATTCCCCTGCTGACCATCCCTCTTCCTGGCTTTATTTTTCTCCCTAGCATCAATTACTTTCAATGTATTGCACTGTATAAGATCCTTCTATTTTGTTTATGGCCCATCCACAAGAATGTAAGCAGCTCTTTTAATATGTTTTGTGGGATCCTCCGTGTATAGAACAGTGCCTAGCACAGGGTATGTGGTCAATACATATTTGTTGAGTAAATAAATGATTGAATAGTAGAAGCCCAATAAATATGTATTGAATAAACAGATAAATGAATGAATGAATGTTGCCTCAAGTTCTGGAGGCATCAGATTATCAGGAAGAGATTTTAAAACTATATATATACCAGCTTTATTGAGATATAATTCATATTCCATACAGTTCACCCACTTGATGTATACAGTTCAATGGTTTTTGATGTATTCAGAGTTTTGAGATCATCACTAATATCAATTTTAGAACATTTATATCACTCCAGAAAGCACCTCATGCCCATTAGCGGTCACTGTCCATTGCGTCTGAATCCCCCCAGCCCTAATCAAATGTTAATTTATTTCTGTGTCTGTAGATTTGCCTATTCTCTCTCTATATATATCTGTGGAATTGTATAATATGTGACATTTTATATCTGGCTTCTTTCACTTAGCATAGCGTTTTCAAGGTTCATCGATGTTATGGCTTGTGTTAGTACTTTATTTCTTTACATTGATGAATAATAGTCCACTATGTGGATATACCAAATTTTATTTATTCATTCGTCAGTTGATGTATGTTTAGGTTTGTTCCATTTTTTCACTCTAATGGATAATGCTACTATGAACATTCATGTACAAGTTTTTGTGTTGTTTTCATTTCTCTTGGATATATACCTAGGAATAGAATTGCTGGGTCATGTGATACTCTATGTTTATTTTGGAGAACTGCCCATCATCAGTGTATGAGATTTCCAACTTCTTCACATCCTCATCAATACTTGTTAGTATCTGTCATTTTTATTATAGCCATCTTAGGAGGTGTGAAATGATTTGTGAATTTGGTTTGCATTCCTGTCTTTTTTTTACTTGAAGTATAGTTGATTTACAATTCTGTGTTAGTTTCAGATGTGCAGCAAAGTGATTCAGTTATATATATCTATATATACATATATATTTCCAGATTCTTTTCTATTATAGTTTGTTACAAGATATTGAAAGTAGTTCCCTGTGCTATACAGTAAATCCTTGCTGTTTATCTATTTTATATATAGTAGTGTATATCTTTAATCCTATACTCCTAATTTAACCCTTCCCCCCTTCCCCCTTTGGTAACTGTAAGTTAGTTTTCTGTCTGTGAGTCTGTTTCTGTTTTGTAAATATATTCATTTGTATTGCTTTTTAGACTCTACATATAGATGATATATAATATTTGTCTTTCTCTGACTTACTTCACTTAGTTTGATATTCTGTAGGTCCATCCATGTTAATGCATATGGCAATATTTCATTCTTTTCTTACGCCTGAGTAATATTCCATTATATATATATACATATATATGTGTATATATATGTGATGGACACTTAGGTTGCGTCTGTGTCTTGGCTGTTATAAATAGTGCTGGCATATATATATGTATAGATATGTGGTGGACACTTAGGTTGCGTCTGTGTCTTGGCTGTTATAAATAGTGCTGGTCTACATTTCTTTGATGGCTAATGATGCTGAGCATCTTTTCACGTGCTTATAGGCTACGTGTCTATCTTCTTTGGAGAAATGACTGTCAATTTTTAAATTTGGGTTGTCTTTTTGAGTCGTAAGAATTCTTTATATATTTTGAATACTCGACGCTTATTAGATATATGATTTACAAAAACTTGTGGGCTGTCTTTCACTCTCTTCTTGATGGTGTTCTTTGAAGCACAAATGTTTTAACTTTAAAAAAGTTTTTTCAAATTATTATTTTGGCTGCGTCGGGTCTTTGTTGTGGCATGCAGGATCTTTTGTTGTTGTTGCCTCATGGGAGCTCTTTGTTGAGGTACGTGGGCTTCTCTCTAGTCGTGGCATGAGGTTTTCTCTCTCTAGTTGTGGCGCGTGGGCTTAGTTGCCCTGTGGCATGTGGGATCTTAGTTCCCTGACTAGGGGTCAAACCCGTGTCCCCTGCATCGGAAGGCAGACTGTTTACCACTGGACCACCAGGGAAGTCCCACAAATGTTTTAAATTTTGATGGTGTCCAGTTTACCTCAGTTTTCTTTTGTGGCTTGTGCTTTTGCTGTCATAGCTAAGAAACAGTCACCTAACCCAAGGTTATAAGGATTTACACCTAGGTTTTCTTCTAAGAATTTTATAATTTTCACTCTTACATTTAGGTCTTTGATCCATCTTGAGTTAACTTTAATGCATGGTGTGAGGTAGGGATCCAACTTAATTATTTTGCACATACATATCCAATGGTCCCAGCACCATTCGTTGAAAAAGCTATT